TTTTAATAGAGATGTTTGTCAACTTTATGATTGTTTATAGGGCTGCATTACATATTTTATGATTTTAGGAAGGTAAACCCCTATTGGTTACAATTAATAACAGCTCGAGGAGCATATGAATAAAGCCCTGGGTGATTTTTTAAAAGACAACAGGGCTTCAGCGCCTTAAAATGTGGTGTGGGATCCACTTAAGGTGTATTGTAGGGGGGTTATAATTCAACAGATCTCTAAAATAAAAAAAAACTGCTAGGGATTGGAAACAGACAATTATGAAAGTGGTGGTAGAAGCTGAGAGAATTTATATAGAAGACCCAAATTAATGATAATTTGGAGATGGAAGGAAGTGCAACAGATGTATAGTAAAATTTCCTTGTAGTAAAATCTCCTTGACAAGGACTGAAAACAAAAGGTTTTTATAAAACAAAAAGGTATGAAAAAGGTGAAAATACGGGGCGCATGTTGGCCCTCCTAGCAAGGACTCAGGAGGGCATGGTAAATACGGTGACCTCAATTGAGACCGGGACAGAGAGCATCACTATGTGCCCGAATGAGTTTATGGATGCCTTTAAAAATTCTCTCTCAAACAGGGAACAGGGAGATGGAAAAATGTATTCAAGGTTTAGAGATCCCAACCCTGTCAAATGGGGATAGAGATATGTTGGAAGCCCCCATCACGCAGTTTTAACTTCCACCAACCATAAAACTCCAGGCCCAGATGGGTTTCCAACAGAAATATATAAACACTATGGGGAAGTTTTACTTCCAGAACTCTTACAGGTGTTAAATGGAGCGTTTGAGAGGGGAGTATTGCCAACGTCTATGACAGAAGCCACAATTATAATGCTATATAAAGAGGGAAAGGATCCCCTACAGCCCTCATCGTATAGACTAATATTCTTGTTGTGTGCGGATGTTAAGTTGTTGGCAAAAGTGTTAGCCACTAGATTAGGAAAAATAGTATATACAATGGTTCATCCGGTTTATCTCAGGGTGATACACAGCATTGAATATTAGAAGAACATTCTTAAATCTGCAAATTCCAACAGAGGAGGAGGGTTCGAGAGCTATTCTCACCTTAGATGCTGCTAAAGCATTTGATAGTGTGGAGTGGAGTTATCTGTGGCAGGTAATGTGGGTGTTTAAAATTTGGTCCGATGTTCATGAAGTGGGTGTGGTTGCTCTATAATACCCCCAAGGCAAGGGTGAGAATAATGGGTTATAGGAGTATAGTATTTTTTACTGGCACAATGGACAAGGCAGGGATGCCATCTACCGCCATTGCTTTTTGCACTGGCTATAGAACCTCTGGCGATTTCCATCAGAGCTGTGAGAGAGGTAAGGGGTTTCTGTAGGGGAGAGGTTGAGGAAAAAAAATCTCCTTATTCTCTTGTTCCTGGGGGATACAAGGCATTCACTAACTGTAGTAATGGGTATTATAAAGTCTTTTGGCGCCTTCTCTGGATTATCCATAAATTGAGAAAAATCCAATTTGCTTCCATTGGATGCATGGATAGAGATACTACCCGAGGGTGCTAGGCACCTACAGGTAGTAGAAAGTTTTAGGTACTTAGGAATAAAAGTAACAGCAAACCCTAAAACATATATTTCGAATAACTTAGTGCCCTTGTTATCAAAAATTTTAAAAAAGTGTAAGGCATGGCACCAACTTCCTCTCTCAATGTGGTTTGATAAACACGCTATGGATACCCAAACCTTTATATATTTTGCATAACTCACCTGTATGGATTACAGGAAAGCGGTTTAGGGAATTGGTGTAAAAAGAGGGATAGGCCAGAATACGTCTTCGGGTATTGCATCTTCCCAAAGGTAGAGAAGGACCAGCGGTGCCGCATCCTCGGAGATATTTTTTGGCAGCACAATTACAGCACTTGGGAGGCTGTGGACACATATGTTGTTACTTTGTAGACCCCACCTTACTTACATGGAGGCGTTGGAGGAGGAATCCTTAAAGACGGAAAGACTATCTCCAACAATTAAACTGATGCTGAAATTATGGCGAATAATACGAGTGCTATTTTGGTACATAGGGTTGATGGAATACACGCTGATATGGGAAAATAAAAATCTACCGGAGCTTGAAAAACTAGAGAACTTCAATGATTGGAAACAGAAGGGAATTGTGTATTTAGCACAGTTATAAACACCTAGGGGAATTAAAAATTTTGAAGAATTGAGAGAGGAATTTGGGCTTTCGAATAAATGTTTCTATCAATATCTACAGTTGAGACATGCTTTGACAGCTCAGTTTAAGCTAAAGGAAATAGAGTGGAGTGATGCACCTCTGTTAGAGTCCTTAATAAATGCTTCATCTACTAAAGGGTTAATAGCAAAGCTGTATACAAATATACAATTAATGGCCTTGGATAAGGATAAAGAACTATCATATAGAATGGTAAGAAGACGTGGGCAAATTAACAGATGAGCAATGGAAGCACGTTTTAAAAATCAGTGGATTTAGTATCATTATCCCCCTCACAAAAGTTGACACAGATTTTCATTATTCATAGAACATACCATACACCAAGGAAATTGTTTCTGTTTGGGAGGCATTCAGATGAATGTTGTTCCAGGTGTGGGGATCAGGTGGGAAATGTTTTCCATATGATCTGGAGATGTCCCAAATTATATACAGTGGGGCAAAAAAGTATTTAGTCAGCCACCCATTGTGCAAGTTCTCCCACTTAAAAAGATGAGAGAGGCCTGTAATTGGCATCATAGGTAGACCTCAACTATGAGAGACAAAATGAGAAAAAAAATCCAGACAATCACATTGGCTGATTTGGAAAGAATTTATTTGCAAATTATGGTGGAAAATAAGTATTTGGTCAATATCAAAAGTTCATCTCAATAATTTGTTATATATCCTTTGTTGGCAATGACAGAGGTCAAATGATGCCAATTACAGGCCTCTCTCATCTTTTTAAGTGGGAAAACTTGCTCAATTGGTGGCTGACTAAATACTTTTTTGCCCCACTGTAGATATTGGGAAAAGGTGATTGAAATAACAGGATGGGTGGTTGGTTTAACGTTAAGAGATGGAAACCAAGTTGTGTATACTGGGGATCATGGGAAACTATGGAATGTCACATTTTGTGCAACTGGCAGTGCAGAGATGTCTATATGTAGCCAGAAAACTGATTGCCCAGAGGTGGATATCCTTGGTACCCCCTAGCTGTGAAGACTGGTTAAAATTGGTGGATAGAACAATAATTAGGGAAAAAAACAATATATGAAAGGAGGGGTTATGTAGGAAGTATGAAGAGATATGGAGATCATGGAATGTATCCCCTAGTTTGGTGTAAAGATTAAGTTAGAGATAATTTATGAAAAGTTATAATGATGTATGCTATGCATTGATGTCTTTGAGAGTGGCAGTGGGTGGAAAAGGGTCGGGTTTAGAAAATGTAAATCTGTAAAGTTTGATGTACTCTATACTCTTTTAATGAAAGAAATTATTAATACAAATGATTAGACATTATTCAGAAAAGGAAAATTGGGAAATGGGTATCTACCTATGACAGTGGAAGTCTCTACAGGTTAGTCATTTTTTAGTAAAGGATAAGTTCCCCTTTTAACAAAAAAGAATAAATGCACATTTTGTGAACGTAAAAAAATATGCATTTATTATTTTTTGTTTGTGGAGCCTCTAAAGCATTGCACAAGCCATTAGCAGATTAGTGGTGGCATGCAGGTCTCCCCCTGACCTGTCAGTATATCTGCTTGCTCGTATATCCCATACAGGCAAGCAGATACTTACTGACAGGAAGGCTCAATGAAATAACACGGCACTGTGAAGCGCTGTGGCAGTTCATTGAAAACTACAAGTCGACAGCTGCAAAGGCTGCCAGGACTTGTAGTTTTCCCATTCACAGAAAACTGTGTATTAGTGACACCGCCAAGCGGGTGGAGCACCGCTTGGTGCATTTTTTAAAAAATTGTGACAGCTAGCAGGGAGGAGAAGATTCCCTGATAGCTGTCACAATGGAGATTGGGGTGGGTGCAGGGGCCGAACATGTTACGAAAGGTGAACTTATCCTTTAAAGCAGGGGTCTCCAAACTTTCTAAATAAAGGGCCAGTTTACTGTTCTTCAGATTTTAGGGGGGCCAGACTGTAGCCACTGTAAGTAGAAAATGTCATTAGTTGGAGTAAACAACACCACACCTTTGGTGTCAGTAAGAGGAATTGTGCCCCATCGTTGGTGTAACTTGGAGGAATTGTGCCCCATCATTAGTGTCATTGGAAGGAACTGTGTCCCATCATTGGTGTCATTTGGAGGAATTGTGCCCCTTTGTTGCTGTCGTTAGGGGAAAATATGCCCCATTGTTGGTGTCAGAGGATCAAATATTGACCCAAGGGCCGCATAAAAGTAGGCAAAGGGTCGCATTTGGCACCCGAGCAACGGTTCAGAGACCACTGCTTTAAAGTATAACTAAAAACAAAACTTTTTTTTCTTTTAGTTTTGGATAGAGTGGAGGTGGATTAGAACACCTGTCAGTTTGTACTGGTGTCGGTGCCACCTTTAGGGAGATTCACCCTCTCTATTTATCATGTTTACCATTACTATTGACCCTCTCCATTTGTACTATTTACCGTTATCATTGAAAGTAAAGGAAAATCCTTTAAAATCCCAAGAATCACTTGGTTCTTTTGTCTATATAAGATTACTGTGGTAAAATGTTAACACATTATTTCGGGTCTCTGCCCTTTCTAGACCCCATAACTACCATTACTTTTATTTCTGTTTTTTCTACTTTATGGACAATCTATTGATAACTGTGACATCTTTACTTGGCTTCAATTTTCTCCCAACAGAGGTCCTTGTGAGATACTATTAGCAAAGACAGCACGTATTTTAGTTTGCCAGCAACACAAATCTGAAATCTCAGTTTTGGAAAGAGATTAATATGATCAATTTCAGTATTAGTAAAGTTATTCTCCTCTAATCAGGAAATATATCTCTATATAATTAAGTTCTTACACAAGAGGACTACTTGGTGAGTTCTCTGCTGGTGAGTTTGAGGATTCTAAGGAATGCCAACGATGAAACCTACGATGGAGTTTTAGTTGCTTCTCCAACTCCTTCATTTCTGCTTTACGTTGTCTTTTTTCTGCTCGCAGACGTTGCTTTTCTGCTTTCATGAATGTCTTGTTCATTTGTTTCTGTAATCTGTGACAGAAAATAAATTAATGGTGACTGCACGTGAACACAACTGCAAAGCTAAGCCAGTTACAAGACAAGCATGACATACCTGACGTGAACCATGGAGAAGGTAAGAGATGGATGTGGGTCTTCTGCACTAGGTTCCAATGGTCTCCTCATTTTCAAAAACAAGTGGTTGGGTTCATGATCACATCCACCAGCCTCACATGATTCACAGATGCTGAATGATGGGCAAGTGCTGTTAGGGAGTAAAGGTACCTTTAATACTTTTTTTAAACTTGAAGAAAACGAATCCATTATGTAGATGTAAGCAGAAATCTATACAATTGCAATTGTAAGGTGTGGACGTTAACCACTTGACCATCGGGATTGTTTTACCCCTTCATGGTCAGTCCATATTTCCACTTGACTGGCAACTGAGCACTCATGCAACACTGTACCCAAATTAAAATTTATATAATTTTTTCCAACAAATAGAGCTTTCTTTTGGTGGTATTAGATCACCACTGGGATTTTAATTTTGTATTATATACTTGAAAAAAGATAGATCATTTGGAAAAAAAAAAACCCAATTTTTTCTACTTTCTGTTATAAATTTAGGCCAAAATATATACTGCTACATGTCTTTGTTAAAGAAAATCCCAATAAATGTATATTAATTGGTTTGTGTGAAAGTTACAGCATCTACAAATGATGGAATATGTACTGGAAATCAGCTATGATGCTAAACTGGTAATGCTAGTGGTCAGTGATTTATAGTGGGACTTGATAGTGTGGGGGCGCAAATCTAGCGATACACTGATGAGATATAATACTAAACACTGTCACTATACTAATGACACTGGCTGGAAAGGGGTTAACATCATGAGGCAATCTAAGGGTTAACAGTGTGCCTAAAACTGTAATGTGTGTAATATGTGCTGCTTTTACTTACATATCAGGTTGTTTTTTCTCTATGCTTTGCAGGGAGAAAAAAAAAACAGATTGCTGATCTGTGTACAGAGCCCTCTGTTGTTTGCAAACACAGGGCTCTGTGCTGTGATTGGCTACAGCAGCTGATCAACAGGTTTGGGCCTTAAATCATTGGATGGATATGCTGACAAAATCCCACTGTAGCCAGTGACAGGGCAGGTTTGCAGCAGGCATGTGCATGTGCGTTCCAAATGTGAACCGATCTGCCCATGCCACCAACCCACAGTAAATGGACTGACTGGGATGGAAACTGGTTAAAGCACTTGGAGATACATTGCTACTTTTAGGATATTGGTGACTGTAGTGTTCTGAGTCACATGATCGCTGTGATAGCCTCTGATTGGCTATCACAGTGATCAGTCACTGTACAGCCCGCCCTTGTTTTTTTTTTTCTCTCTGAATGGAGAAGAGAGATACATAATTAAAAATAAAATAAAGAAAAAATACCTAGATCAAGATTTGATATAGTTCAGTGCCAGGGTTAGTGTTTGGGTCAAGGTCAAAGGTCAGTATTTATTTTTATATATTTTTTTACCCACCTCCTGTCCGGCCGTTGTATATAAAAACGGCCTGATGGTGGCAGTGCAGGGTCAGGTGGCCGTTTAGAAACGGCCTCCCTGCCCCCTGATTGTGCGCGCTCCCTGGGAGCACGCAGCACCGCGATCCGGTGCCCGCTGTGTCCTCCGTACACAGTGGAACACCTCTCTGCAAGGTCCCGATCATATGATCACTGATTGGCCAATCACATGCAGAGTAGTAAGCAAGATGTCACTTCTGACATCATTGCTTACTACGTGTGAAATCTGTGAACGATCACAGAGGTCACATGGTACAGGGCCATTCACAACAGCCTTGTACCATGTGACAAGCTGTGACCAATCACAGCTTCCACAGTAGCTCTCAATGGCTGCAACAATGCAGCCAGAGAGAAGGAGAAATGATTGCTTTTACAGCCCTTATGGGTGTAAAAGCAATCAGTGTAAAAAAAACAAAACAAAAAAAACAAATCTTCATCACCATGACATGAAGCTGGTAACACTGTACTGCTAGGGTGACAGTATGTTAAAAAAAAACCCCATAAATAATATAAAAAATTAAAATTTTACAAAAAATGTTTAAAAATTATAATTTTTGGTTATAAACTAATTTGGGTTATTTTTTTTACTAAAAAGATAACAGAATACATTTTGGCCAAGATTTATGATGAAATATTATTTATTTGCAAAATTTTATAAGAAAAACACTTTTTTTCAAAATTTTTGGACATTTTCATTTACATAGCAAAAAAAATAAAAATTCCAGTGGTGAATAAATACCACCAAAATAAAGCTTTATCGGTCTCAAAAAAAATGCTAAAAAATTCATATGGGTACAGTGTTGCATGACCGCGCAATTGTCATTCAAAGTGTGATAGCACTGAAACTTGAAAATTGGCCTGGACAGGAAGTGGGTAAAAGTGTCTGGACTAGAAGTGGTTAAATTGGTATCAGCGTCAGTCAGTGTGTTTAGGTAAAAAAAACAAAAACAAAAAACCAAAATGTGCACTACTGTTTCTGGGCTGTAGTACGGGTACAAACAACAAATAACATACACATATATGGTATCGCTGCGATTGTCAACAGCTGGAAAATGTATTTTGGGTTGTTCTTTGGTGGTAGGTTATGGTAGTAACAAGAAACACACAGCTAAATTAAAAAAATTATTTTTGTTTACTATTTTGGGCCAGTTTTCTTTTGATAAAAAAAAAAAAAATCAGGAGATATCCATTATCGTTTACCACCAATTTGTTCTGAAAAAAGCAAGGTATAATTCACCTGGATATACAAAGTAGTTGTGATGATATGTACGGTTTTACTAGCACATGTCAAAGTTTCAAAATTGTGCTTAGGCGTTAAGATTTGTTTTACCCTTTGGCATGAAGGGGTTAAACCAGTAATAAACGACCTGCTAACCGCCAAAGCTAACGGCCACTATTCAGTGCTCCTTCTCCTTGACCTCTCTGCAGCTTTCGACACAGTTGACCACCCCTTCCTCAAAAAACTACACTCCCTTGGCCTCAGAGACTCCGCTCTCTCTCCTGGCTCTCGTCCTACCTATCACAACGCTCCTTCAGCGTTACCTATAATGCTACCACCTCCCCCTCACTCCCCCTCTCTGTTGGGGTCCCTCAAGGCTCTGTCCTCGAGCCCCTTCTCTTCTCCATCTACACCTCCTCCCTTGGCCAACTCATACACTCTCACAGCTTCAACTACCACCTCTATGCCGACGACACGCAAATCTCGCGACCCCTCGCCTCACCCCCTCAGTCTCCACCCGAATTACAAGCCTACTGAACGACATATCAGATTGGATGTCGCTCCACTTCCTTAAACTGAACCTCTCCAAAACTGAGCTCCTAGTCTTCCCCCCAGCCCGCACACCACCCCCTACTGACTTCTCCATCACGTCCAACAATGCCACCATCAGGCCCGCCCCGCAGGCCAGAGTACTTGGTGTCATTCTTGACTCCAATCTATCCTTCCAGCCCCAAGTCCAATCACTAACAAACTCATGGAGACTCCACCTCCGCAACTTTGCCAAAATACGCATTTTTCTAACCCCAGAAACTACTAAGCAGCTCATCCACTCCCTCATCATATCACGACTCGATTACTGCAACTCCCTCCTCACTGGCCTGCCTCGCCACAGGCTATCCCCGCTTCAGTCGATCCTGAATATGGCAGCCAGACTCATCCACCTTACCAGCCGCTCCGTTTCTGCCACCCCCCTCTGCCAATCCCTCCACTGGCTTCTGATTGCCCAACGGATCAAACTCAAAATCCTAACACTGATGTACAAAGCTGTCCATCATACTGCCCCAAACTACATCACCGACCTAATATCCAAATATCAGCCAAAACGCACTCTCCGCTCCTCACAAGACCTCCTTCTCTCTAGTTCCCTGGTCTCCTCCTCCCATGCCCGCCTCCAGGACTTCTCCAGGGCATCACCCATCCTCTGGAACTCCCTACCCCAATCCATCAGACTATCACCTACTCTCCTCTCCTTTAGGCGCACCCTGAAAACCCATGTATTGTCTCCCATTGTAATGTACAGCGCTGAGCGAACTGTTGATGCTTTATAAATACTGTATAATAAAATAATAATAATAAACCTATAAACTAAAATTTAATATAGTGCAGCTCACCATTTCTTAGATTTGACAGCTGCATTCATTTCCTTTTAAGGCTTAAAGTGTAGGTATCTTCACAAAATAAGTTTAAAGATTTTCAAGATAATAGGAGTAGAATAGAAATACTTGAAATACAATGTATGTAATAAATTATTTTACAATTAGACCTTAGATAACATTTAATTCTAAGAGGGGAAAAATGGTAATTCTGTAGAGGACTGTACAAACTGTTGACACTATATAAATCCTGGATAATAATTCAGATATAAAACAGATAGCAAACAGTACGAATGCAAAAAAATATATTAGTGCTGCTTCCCATTTGTTTATCAATGGAAGCATTGAGTGCACATATATCTGATTGTTGTCATTTTCATTAAAATCTCAGGTTTATTAAGCTGGGTTCCATTGGGGAAATTAACGTTTACATCCTGTCCTGGAGATGCAACAGGAAGTGAGAGGAAATATCTCCAAAGTCAAGGGAATTCCTTTTGAATATAGTTGTCACCAGAACAGGTATTCTCTTTAGAAGATTTTCTCGCATCTTTTGTTGACAATAACATTTTTTATTTCCCAGAAATTTTCTGTCAGTGACAACTATCACCATGACTATTAGAAAGGGCAAATCAAACCAGTGGAGCAAAAGGCAGGAATAAAAACTTGACAGAGGTTCTAACCCTTCCCATCTAAACTAAAATAGATTCACACACACACACACACACACACACACACACACACACACACGCACACACACGCGCGCGCGCGCACACACACACACACACACACGAGGAACTGAATGTATTCTCTTTTGAGAAGAAGAGATTAAGGGGGATATGATCAATATGTATAAATACATCAGTGGTTCATATAATGAACTCGGTGTAGAGCTGTTCACCCTGAGGTCATCACAGAGGACAAGGGGGCACTCTTTACGTCTGGAGGAAAAGAAATTTAATCTCCAAACACGGAAAGGTTTCTTCACAGTGAGAGCTGTGAAAATGTGGAATGGACTCCCTTAGGAGTTGGTTCTGGCCAGCTCAGTGGATTGCTTTAAAAAAGGCCTGGATTCTTTCTTAGATACACAGAAAATAACT